TCCTTCTATCTGTTGGCTTTTGTTCTATCTCCAGGCTACGTGTCCAATGTATTCTATAATCTGCTTCCATCCTCCTCTCTGGTTCATTTTCTGCTGTTCTCTGGGTCTTGGTTTATAATCCTTCACTTTATAATCCAATGTTGGTCAAGGTCCAATGTAACAGTGGAAGAGAGGCTGAAAGACATCAGAAGGAACTGTCCAATGTTTTGCAGCTATAACATGCAGGGATGAGTTTATTCTTTTAAATGTTCTTACATGATTATCATTTAGTTGAATTCATTAACTAACGGTGTGTGCCTCCCGACGGTGGGTGGAGTGTGTGGTCAGGGAGGGAACTAGAACAGGGCACCACCAACGCAAAGGTCGTGGTGAGACGGAATTGTGTGGTTTGCCTGCATCGAAGATCTCAGTCTGGGAAGTTGTTTGTATAGCACAAAAGGTGCAAGCAACAGCGAATGAAACTGGGCAAAAGAGAAGGGTCAATGTGCTCAGAGGAAAGGATGTCCATCTGAAGTTATCAAAGAGGCTTTCCTCTAGGGAAATCCTGCTGCATAGGGATGGAGGTGGGTTTCCTAACACCAGTGTCCACTCTTTCAGAAGTGGGCAGTGTCTGCAGTTTGAAGTAGAAGAAATTTTCCCATCAGTCAGTACCGCTCACCTCTGTTGACCTTCCTTGTACTTTATGGGTTACACTAGCATCCTGGAGCTCAACCTGTGCATGAGATGGGCTCCTTATCTACTTTATTACCCAGATGTCATTCTGAAACTCGATGTTCACTGAATATGGCACCCTATTATCACAGCAGACACTTTCCAGAGACCAAGCATAAGAACAAACACCAATTCAAGCACGGGCTTTGCCAGTGTTTTGGAAAGAGCACAGCCTTTTCACTGTTTAATTCTTATCTGTGACTCGAGTTAAGTAAATGCTCTCTGACTTCCTTAAGGTTGTTTGAGTAAAAATACAGTGACATTATTGTATTATGTGATAACTCATTAAAAATGACATAATTCCATTTTAACATTCTATTTCTTTTTCTTCTCAAGGCCCATTATATAAACATCACAAAAGCACATTGGTCCAAATGTTATTTCTAAGTAAAGTACATTATTCTCATCAACTACAGTTCTGCTTAAAGTGAAAAACTGAGATCAACTGAAAGGAAAAATAATATGTAAGTGGTTAAACTCACAGTCTGACACATATAACTGGTGGCTATTAAAAGTAATATTTTAAAATTGTGCCTAATAATGCAGGAAGGGATTGCTACACAACAGAAGGGAAAAAGCACTGTGCAAACCCATGTGGATGCTGTGATTATAAGTAGTTAAAAACACTGGAAGGAAAACACTGAATGCTAATAGTTTATATCTGGGACAGGGTTGTGGCTTCATTGAAATATTTATCTTTTAATTTTTCTGTGCTTTGCCAACTTTTCATTTTAAGGCATATATAAATCACAATGGAACTTGTCAGTTTTGCTTCTTTCTGATCCTTTCAAGTTGCATCTAATTTTGCAGTCTTACTAGAAACCTGATCTTCTTTTTTTGCTCTAGTTTGTATCTTTCTTTTTCTTTGTTCTGAGTTTTTGCGGGGAGTTCAGAGTCTCATGTAGCTCAGGCTGGTCTTCAATGCACATTATTATTGAGCTAGCTATGGTGATATTTTATTTGTATTAAAATGTTATTTGTATGTTAATAGATAAAGTTGCCCGGGGATCAGAGCTATTAGCAAGCCATAGGAAAACAGGGCAGTGGTGGTGTATGCTTGTAATCCCAGTGCTTGGTAGACAGAGCTAGGTAAGTCTCTGTGTGTTCAGGGATACAGCCAGTATTGGATACACATGCCTTTAATCTTAATACCAATCATAGAAAACCTGGAGATCTATACAGACAGGCCGTGACGAGGCGGTCATGTGGTTGGGTTTACAACCAATGAGAAGGCAGAACAGAAACACTATAAAAAGACAGACACACAGGAAGTAGCTCTGGTTAAAAGAGGTAGGACCACTGCAGGAGGAAGGGTAAAGTTTTAGCTCTTAGCTCTGACCTCTTGGCTTTCTTCTTTGCACTGGTTCTGTGTTTCTTATTTAATAAGATGGTTGGTTACATCTACAGCTAGCCTAGAAACTCCTGATCATCCTTTGTTGAGAGTGCTAGTATTACAAGCATGGTGTGGCCATGCCTGGTTGTATCTCTTCAATACAAAGCACATGTATAGTCCTCATTAGTAATAGATTTAATTTTACTTTCTTATCATTTGTGTATCTGGCTTTGTGAGTTCATAAGCAAAGCAAAAATAAAACAAAACAAGAGATCACATAAAGCCTATATGTGATAAACAGAAATATTATTATTTTTTTAAAATCCTCATGTCTAAAGAACTGAACTGAAATGAGCTTTAGGAAGGAACAGAAGATCACAAGCTCATAGTAGACAATCAAAGTCAAGGGCAGTACAGAAAGAGAATGGGAAGCTGTGGCCAGCTTTGTCATAGGTAAGCTTCAGGTTGCCTCATTTGCTGTATAACTCAAGCAATGAAGAAACGGAAGCTCCATGTGGCCATATGCCTTTAACAGGACAGTGATTCATGCTGCCGTGAGGTCTGTCTTCTTCTGTTTGACTTGCTTGTAAATAAATCGATCTGGTACCATGTGCGCCCTCAGAGGACAATCACAGAATTGAAATTTGTTTAGGAATGCATGACAGAAACGTGTGTACTCATGCATTTTTATGAGCATGGCAAATCTCTTTGGCGTGTGTATATTGCATGTTAAGTTCCTTGTTGTTGGAGCAAAACTGCGTTTATTCCTTTTTTACTTCTTACAGTTTTCAGTTCACAGTGCCTTCCATTCAGATTCTCAGGAAGTGCTTTTACCTAGCCGTTACATCTTAATATTTTATACTACTCCCAGAACACTACCATTTGTGACCCAGCAACGGCTTGGTGCATTTCATTATGTTAGCACGATCTGCAGATGGATGATGGCTAAATGAGACAACAAAGATTTCTAGACAATCAAAATAATTAGTACGGGAGCCATGGCTGTGATCTCATGTGCATCTTTATGAAATCGAGGAAATAAAATTGGCCTGTTTTGTCATGGTATGTACCCACTCATCAGTGGATACTAGATATAAAGCAAAGGCTAATCAGGCAACAACCTACAACTCCAGAGAAGCTAACTAACAGAGAAGACCCAAAGAGGGACACATGGACTGCCCTGGGAAGGGGAAATAGATGAGATCTCCATGAGTGAACTGGGGGTGAAACTGGGGGTGAGGGGTGGGCAATGGAGGGTAGGGGATGGGGGGTGAGAACATAAGGAAATGGGATGGTTGAACTGGAACAGGGAGGGAGGAGGAAAGCAATGAACGAGATACCATGATAGAGGGAGACATCATGGGCATGGAGAAAAGCCTGGTGCTAGGGAAGTTGCCAGGAATCCCCAAGGATAACCCCAGCCTGGGATGCTAGCAATAGTGGAGAGGGTGCATGAACTGAAGTGGCTTGACCCAGGGATCAGACCAGTGAATATCCTGTCATCATAGAGCTATTCTCCAATGACTGATGGAAGCAGATGCAGAGATCCAGTCAATCACTAGACAGAGCTCCAGGAGTCCAGTCAAAGAGAGAGAAGAGGGATTCTTTGAGCAAGTGCATCAGGATCATGATGGGGAAACATGCAGGGATGACCAAACCAAACTAGAGGGAACTCATGAAAGTTGGATCAATGGCTGTGGAGCCTGCATGGGACTGGACTAGGCCCTATGCGTGGTGAGGCAGTTGTGTAGCTTGCTCTGCTTGGGAGGCCCCCTGGTGGTAGGATCAGAATCCATCTCTGGTGCATGAGTGGGCTATGTAGAGGCCACTCCCTAGGATGGGACACCTCATGTAGCCTTGAGGCAGGGGGAAGGACTTGGACTAGCCCCAACTGAATGTGCCTCCACATGGGAGGCCTTGCCTTCTTGTGGGAGGGATTGGGGGATGGGTTGGGAGGGTAGGGTGGGAAGGGCAGGAGGAGGAAAGAGGGGGATCTTTGGTGTGTAAAATGAATGAAAATTTTTTCTTAATAAAAAAAATTAAAAAAAACAATGGCCTGTTTTGTAGTTAGCTTTTGAACAAGAATGTTGTAGGATGCACGTGCTATTAATGCTGCATATTTAATTACTTCCCAGTAGAAGAAGCTTAAGTTAGTAACAGTTTTCTTAGGAGTTAGAGTATTGTAATATTCATCGAGTTCCGAATACTTTACTGAAACCAAGATACTTGGGTGAGGTCAACAAAAAAGCCTCCGTGTGGATATTGACAGTGACAATCACAAATGATATAAAGTATTGGATAAGATCAATACTAACAAAGTGGGAAAAATTGGCATACCACCAATAAGCACTAAAGCTATCAGAATTTTTCACTTGTGTTTTGTTGTTGCTGTTACTATTGTTGGACAGGGCGTGGCTTGGTAGCTCAGGCTGGCCTTGAGCTCAGTGTAGCCCAGGCTGATACTGAATGAGTTTCCTTATGCATCAATTAGCTACTTATGTCCTTGGTGTTCTGTTGATCACAACCTGGAACATAAAGAAGAAAGACCTCTCTCTCTCTCTCTCTCTCTCTCTCTCTCTCTCTCTAGCTTCAAAGATCTAGTAACTTATTTACAACAGAGACAAATAGCAATTAATGATAATGGACTAAGAAAATGTGTCTGGCATATAGAGGGAATCAGTCTAAAGACATCGGGAATTCTACAGAGTATTCAGGAAGTTAACGTTCACGTGAAATGGAGGCAAAGATGGTTGTCCTGGTATTTTACTGTCTGCCCTTTCGCATGGATTTGCAGTGTTCATGAAACAATCATCCCTGGATTTTGATCCAGAGCAGCGCGGTGCACAAAGGAACTCAGCTGTCAGTCGTAATTTCAGAATGTATTAAATAATTTACTCGAATTTCAAAAAAAAAAAAAAACAAAAACAAAAACCAAACAACTAAGGGAACACATAGCTCTGGAAATTTTCCTCATGGGGTATGTTGGTGGAGGAGGAAGGATGTGAAGGAAGACTATGTTCACATTTCACTCTAACGTGGGTACAATTCTCCAGCGTAAAGAAAAAGTACAATAAAAAAAAATTTTCCTCCAAATTCCAGTGTTCTGTTTATGAGCGGCTGCCTCCAGGCCCAGCCTCTTTGCGGAGCCATTTCTTCTGGCCCAGCTGTGGCTGATTTCCCTTCCCCTGCCCACTGTCTCCTCCTCTTCAGTATAATTGACTTAACATACTTTATAGCTCACTCTCCTTCCTGCTACCATAGAGGCATTGTTCTCCTCTGCTGGCTCCGGCTGGTCCCTGGGTCAAAGCATTGTTTTCTTTTGACATCTTTTCTCTGGAGACAGAGGTGGAGAGAGTTGTACAAACCATCATCTGAGCATGGTAGGGAGGCTCCTTCTGTGTTGCAGCAGAGGAAACATTCATCTCAAAGTCTTCCAAACGCCGAGTCAGGCTCTGTATTCTCTTTACGCTCCTGCCGGTTCCTCCACTGGAGGACAGCTGCTGTCTGGCCTGTCCGTGAATGGCCGTTGCCGTCTGCTTCCCTGTGGCTCAGGAAATAGCCTTCAACTGTAGAAACATAGGTCAAGATTACACACAGTTAGGATGAGACCGAATAAAGACAAGAATTCACATTCTATGTTTCCTCCTTCCTTCCTTTGCTTTAGTGGTACCCAGTGTTGTAGGTTTGAGCACTTTTTAAAAAAAATTTTGTTATTTTTGCTTGTGTTTTGGCCTCATGCAGGGAGAAGAAAGTGAAAGTCTTTCATATTAATATTCATGACCATGTAATATGATGAGAAACCATCAGTGATCACCAAACTGTTTTATTTCCTAAAATCTTTTCAGCGAGTAAATAGGCATGAATATCAGTAAATTTTTGAATAGTTAAGGGGAGTCTATTTCCATGCTGGATTACATAAAACAACATGTGTGGTTTTGATAATGACATGGAACATAGAAAATAATTTGATTCATATTATAAAAATCTCATTCATGCCCTTTCCCACCAATTCCTTCCCTGCACCAGAAATGCTAATAAGCTGGAAATGGGTGGATGTGAGCTCCTCGCCAGCTCCTGTTTCTCACTCTCGTGGCAGAAACTGATGGCTCAAACCAAATCCAGCAGGCGATTCATTCTAATTTTTTTATTGAATGAAAATGAAATCTGCCCGAATCAGAGCACAGACTGAGGCAAGGACCTCAGTGCGTCCTGCTCTTTATAAACTGCATATCTGGTCCCCGCATAATCACAGAGTGGCTGGAGATGATTCATCTGAAAGACCTATTTAAGGAAGGAAGGAAAAGTCATGGGCTTAAAAATGACCCGTAATCAGGTGCTGACAGTTGTGTGTTGAAAGGGTCTATGTAAAGCCAAACTTTCCAACCACAAGAAGGGACATGTTTTGTTCAACATTTTGGAAAGAAGAAATGAAAGAAAAGCTCATCAAAGATGAAAGGCCTAGACATAGTTTTAACTTTCATGGTTGACACCGAAAAAGAAAAGAATTCTATTGAATAGATTAAACAAATAAATGTCAAATTATGCATTTAATTTGAATTCCCGTGAAAATTTGTCGTATTCGTAAGAAGATACAAAAGTTCATTTTTGATATTAAGTAGGCCATGTCATATGCCCCAAACTGAAGAGTCCCATCGGATTCTGCAGAGGTGATTTGGGGATTCAGATGTAGCATGCTCAGACTGCAGAATGTTGATATTCTTTGCAGCTTCCTAATGACCTCATGTGATTTATATCTTCAGGTATTTCTTCTTTGTTGTTGTTGTTCAACAACATACGATTATTTCCTTTTTCATGCTAGGCATTTTGTTAAGTTTGGGGATATAAAAATGTCTCCCCTCCCCCCCCCTCACCCTGGTCTAAAAAAACGTACAGCTTAGTTTTCCAGACAAGAAAATGGACTTTAATTGTGCAATGCTCCTAAGTGCTGAGACAAAAAAAAAAAACTCCGATGCTAACTGAGACTGAGAAATCTATGAAGGCTTCCAGGAAGTACTGGCTCATGGGCTGAACTTTAAAAATAATTTATTTACCTAGATGAAGGAGAGGCGTAGAATGTGGTTGATAAATACATAGATTCTACATCCAGACTATCTGGGTTCTCTCAGGCCTTGGATCTGTCAGTGATTATACATAACCTTAGGGGAGTTACCCAACCTCTCGGTCTTTCAATTTCCTCCATCAGTGAGGACAATAATGGTCCTGCCATTTACTCATTCTAAGGTTGGAAGGACAAAAACATATTTTGAAGGAAATCTGAACAATTTGTGTCATAAGAGTGTTATATAAGGGTGATGAATAAAGGAGATGACAGGTATTCTCGGCAGCAAACACAGCCGGGTTCAGTGACCTCACAGGACATGCATGACACATTCAGAAAACGATAAAGAATAGAGTGTAGGGGTCATTGCTATGGCACGCTAAAGGATAAGGCTGCTGAGAGTTGAAGGCTTACTAAAGAATGTGGTGGTTATTCTAGATAACATGAGGAACACGGAAATACTTTAAACAAACAGGTGATAAGACTAGATTCACATTTTAAACCGGGCAATCTGGTAGCTCTGTGAAGAAGAGAGGAGGCAGAGGAGTAGATCCGGATGAAGTTTTCCACCAGTTACCTCATAATGTTGTGGCTGCTGGCCAGTGGGCTCCTGGGATCCAACCGTCTTTGTCCATTAACGCTGGGGTTCCAGGCTTTTTCATGTGGGGGCTGGGGTTTGAACTCAAGTCTTCCTGCTTGCCGAGGAAGTACTCTTATTCACGGAACCATCTCCTTAGCACCCCACACCAATAAACCAAGTTTCAGTGCCTGTTTGTGCCGGGCACTATTTTGTACGCTTTTTACATAAATGAGACCCTGAAGAAAGTAGTAATAGAAAACTAAAGAGCAGGAAGGTGAGGCCAACAGTGAAGAGCACGTCACATGATGCCGAGACTCCAGAATGAGATGATGAGTAAGAAGGGTCCCCCGGCTTTAGCACAAAATAGGTCACTGGTAGGAGAGAATAGAGTTGATTCTGCGGAGTGATAGACATGGAAACTGAGATTGAGCTGTGGCTTGAGGCATCGGTGGGTTGTAAGGACATGGACCTAATGAAAGAAGAGAGACATAGATGTATAAATGCAGAAGTGGCTACAAAATCCTCTACCTGCATGAATGCCCCTTTGCAATTTCTTCACAGCTATTCCCTTCAAGAGGTAGGGCGGGTTTCTTAACTACAAACTAGACTTGGTCATGTGATTTCCTATGTCCAATGGGGCAGTAACAAAGAAATTAAAGTGTTCGTGTTTTGTACCTTATTCTTGCTACTCTTAGGGACCCTGAGATTACAGTCAGGTAAATAAAACTCTAGACTAACTTGCTGGTAATCCCTGGCTAGTGGTCTTGTTCACCCATAGGCATCCAGCAGCAACAGATGATCTTGCCAAACACCAGCCATTGATTCAGTCCCTGGCTAGTCTACACACTGATTTAGGATACCCAGCCACTCCTAGCAGATAAATTATCCGGCGAAGAACAGATCAGACCAGACTAGTGTTCCACAGGAAAGTGAATGCTGTTTTAAGCTTTACTGTCCTGAGGGTAATTTCTTAAATATCTCAAGTAAACTATTACAACACAATATTTTTTAATGCCATGGGTTTCCAATGTCTCATTTCTCCTGAGGTTTGTATCTACTTTTGAATCTTTGGACTGGATTAGGGAGTTAGAAGAGAAGGAGTTGATTTTAGTCACCCCCTTCCTTCCCCTCTCTTCCTAACACATTGTTCCAGATAGAAATAATATATCATAGTATCGGAGGGTGGGATGGCAAGGTCAAATAGAATTATTGATTTATACTACAGTGTAATTTTTAAAATCAGCATGTTGAGCAAAAGAAGCCAGATGAAAGAAACAAAATACATATTCTCTGTATTTCTCTTTATATGCAATTCTAGAAAAGTATATGTATTTATGTATAATAATAATAATGCCGTGCCTCGTGATGGGTTCCAGGATGAAAGAGTGAACTACCAAGGGGCATGAAGAAATTTGGGGGATGATGAATGAACACATCAATTGTCTTGATTATGGTGACGGGTTCATGGGTAAATACTATATGCGTCCCAAGAGTTCATTTTAAAGATGTACCATTTACTAGCCAGGGTTGGTGGTACATGCCTGTAATTTCAGTGTTCAGTAAGGTTCAATAAGTAAAGGCATGAGGATCAGAGTTTAAGGCCACCTTTAGGTATACAATGCGTTAGTTAAAGGCCTGCTTGAGTTACCAAAGGCTGTTCAAAAACAAACAAGATAGAGCTAGCAAGAAGACTCAGTGGTCTTTTAGGTTCAATTTCAAGGACCCATATGGGGTCTTACAACCATCTCTAGCTCCAGTTTCCGGGGAAGACAATGTCCTCTTCTGATATCCTTCGGCACCAGGCATGCACGTGGTACACAAATATAAGTGCAGGTAAAACACCCATGTACATAAAATCACCATAAATTTTTAACAAACGTTAAGTAGTTTGATGTACCTTAATTATATCTTAATAAAGCTCTTAAAAGAGAAAAAAAAGAGAAGATGGATAATGGATAAAACTTTCCAATTGGTTTCCAATTCATGAAGGGGTTGTAGAATCAAAGTAATATTCCCACAAAGATGTCCAAGCCCTAAGTCTCCAGAGCTATATGGGAACATAAGGAACTGTGCAGACTTGTATACTACCTTATGTGGCAAAGAACCCTTACAGAGGTATTTAGAAGATTAGAATCAGGAAGCTGCCCAAGCTTGATGATAATTGTCTGAGTCCTGAGAAGGGAAGAGCCTTTATCAGTTGGGATTTCAAGAGGAGACGGAAGAAGAAGATGGATTTGAAGGACTCAGTCTGCCGAGAAAATGGAGAAAGGGAGCCACGAGCCCAGAAATAGTGGCATCTGTGATCTAGGGCTGGACCTCCGTTTTAGAAGTATGACAATGGGGACTTTCGCTTTATCCTTACAATGAGTTACATTTCATGAATAATTCAGATGACCACAAAGCAGTTTCTTTCCTAGAATTTCCAGCTCAGCTTGCAGTCAGCTTGATGAGAAGCATAGTGGCCAGCCAGCCCTTGACTGAGCTAGAGAACATTAAGTTGGTGTTTCAGGCTACTGAGTAGCAGTTGACTGGAGCAGTTCTAGAAACTTAGTACAGAAGGTTTCTATGGCGAACAGTTGAAGTTACTGGCAAAGCAGCTATTTTAAAATGGTCTGTATTTCCTAGCAATGGATTCCAGGTAATTAAGTCACTGTATTTTGCCCAAGGTATGTCACTTAGGTATGGGAAGGGCTGGTTATAGGAGTCTTAACTCTTTGGACCTCATTGTCTGAACCATACATTGGTGGCATTTTCTTTAACTGTAGAAATACCCTTCCATTAAATAGTTGTCCCATGACTCCAAAATGCCTCTCTGGACCCTCCCTAATACACCTCCCTCAACTTCATGTCCTCTCAAAAAATATTATAACCTACAAATTAGTGCTGCCCAAATCTATAAAGTGCTTGTACAAGACCAACAGCAGATCAAGCCAGCTTAAATTCCTACATGGGTCGGGGAGGGGATCATGCATTTTGTTTTGCTTGTTTGTTTGTTTGTTTTTTAAGCCATCCGCTTCCAAACGAAAACATGGTGGTTTTGTTGGGGGGAGGGGAGGGGAATCTTCAAGTCCTTTTGCTAAAATCTGAAAACAGAGGTCTCCGCTAAAATTCTAGCTCAATTCTTCACCTTAGAAGCTGCTCAGCCTCCTGTGTACCGTTTGCTCTTTTGCAGAATCATGGCAATGACCATGACGCACCGACGCACCGGAAGCTGAGATGGAGCAAATATGCCCACGGAAGCCGTGGTGTGAGTGCTGGCTGGGCTTCCCAAGTTCTGCTTGTGATCATATCATGGCTGCTAGTTAAGACAATTTCCATTCAAGAAGTGATGTCACCTAACTTTGTAGGTTAAGCAGAAGAAAGCTTCATATGTTGTCTGGGAAATGGCTCGGTTGGGAAAATGCTTGCCTGATAAATTGGATGACCTGAGTTTGGCGCCCAGAAGCGATGTAAAGAAACAAGAAATAGCGTGACCTGGACATGTCATTCCCAGCGCAGTGGTTGGGAAGGAAGACAATGGGTGGATCCCTAGGACTTATTGCCCAGCCAACCTACCCTGATCGTTGAGAAATCTTGTCTCAAAAAATAAAAGTCCGAACCACCACAAAAAACCTAAGGTATACAGTTCTGGAGGAACCACGCCCTAGGTTGACCTGTAATGTGTACGTACCCTTCCCTGGCCCCCCCACCCCAGTTTGCCTTTTAAACGCTAATCCCATTAAGAAGATGCAGATCACTTTCTGTGGTTACCCACCCCCTTCACGCTCCATGCCCAAATGGTTCCTGTTTCTGTTGAGCCCGAAGCAGGAAGAGAAAGTGACGCAGTGATGCTGAGCAAGTGGAGTTCAGTCCGATGATGCCTTCTTTCTCCCCCAAGAGAGGGGTGCGTGGGCAGAGCCCGGGTTATGCTTCTCATTTGCTTCATCCTTATGGCTTTTCCCAAATGGCCTTGCGCTCCCTCCTGACTCTTGCCTTATCAGTGCATGGCCGCCGTGAGCTGGGAGATTCCTAAAGTTCTGTTGTCTTTCAAAACAAAACAGAACATTCCATCCAAATTTAAACAGAACCATTTACAACATTTACAATTCTATTACATATCGGTTTTCCTGCCTGGCATTTATTTGAGGAAAGGCTCTCTCAGATATGAGGGAGTTGGTTTTGGAAAATTAAATCAGACTGACTAAAATGATGGTATGATTCACAAGAAAAGAGAAGATCATTGTGTGATAGGATAATTATTTTTGGAGCACTTTATTTTCATGACTTCCAGCGCACAGAGGAGAAACATATGGACGGTGTTGCTAATTTAGGCCTGTGCTGGCTTCAGGCTCTGCATGGAGGTTCTACACCAGAGCTCTCCGGTCTCCATTTTTGAATGGAGTGCTGCAAGAGATGCCATCAGGCAACCGAGTTAACACAGGTAGTTTTCACTGTGGCGACAAGCAGGCCTGACCTTCCTCCCCTGTGAGCATGCTGTAAGGGGTGGAGCTCACAGGAGCTCTGTGTGGGCAGCCTTGAGAGTGGGTATTTCAATTTGAAAATTTTGTCAGTTGCCATAGTAATAGTCACAATTACGTGGTTTGTTCCTTCTTCATGGTACTGAACACCTCTTAAAAGCACCCAGAAAACAGTAGGGCTTTACTCCCCCCCCCCCAATGCATGCTCACTTAGAGGAAAACAATCATGTGTGAGTGTATTTTGAAAACAACAAAAAAATATCACTTGCGTGCCTCAATGTGAAGTATGTTCATTTCCTAACCATATATTTAAATTTAATGAGATTCTTCTTTTAGTAGAGAAATGAACAGGAAGTGATTTTTTTCTTTCTTTTTTTTTTTTTTTTTCAAAACAAGGAGCCCTAGCAACCAAGGTTACAAAGTTCTGTGAAAAGAACAGGAAACTTCCTCTTGTTGTGAATGTGTGGTGTCAGCAAATCTGCCGCTGTGCAGGCAGGCACAGGTTGCTATGTGTGCTGAATCCCCGAGTAGATACTCTGACTATCTGCTCACCCACTGCGGACTGCTTCCTTCCAGAAAGCAGCTCTGGTAGAAGACATTGCAGGTGGCTTCGGGGATACCACTTATTTGGCTAAAATATTTACATACTGAAATTCCATGAGCTTCCATGTCTAGGGCTAAATTATTACAGGTTTCCTTCTGTTTTGTTGTAGAAATATGTGTATGCATACCTCTCTGGGTACTAATTCTGAATGTAATATAGAAAAATGGTTAAGGTTTCTTCTTTGGGTTTCTTTCTATGTCTGACAGAGAGGGGTAGGGCTGTCTTTGATTTGGGGCTATATCACATGGTAATTGAAGAGCTACCATTGGTTGATAGATTCAGTAAAGGAACAGAATGTGGAGACTTAACTGTGGTCAGGATGGCTGTGCATGCTGTGTTAAGGGCAGTAGGAATTGATTACCTCTTACCCATCGCCAATTAAATACCCTGAACGAATCTGGGATAAATGACTGTTCAATGATGCTTACTCTATTTAATAATGAAGCTCATCAATCTATCAATTAAAAATTAGTATTGTTAACGCTAGCCTCCCTGCGGAACCAGAGGCTTCATTGCCTTTGGTGTTTTTTTCCAGTGTTGGTTTTTTAAGTGAACTTTTTCTCTTAGACTTTCACATGCCTACTTTTTAAAAATAAATAAAGGGGTTTCGATAGCTGCTGTAGGATGGTCTGTATGTCAAATGTGTTGCTCTGATTGGTCAATAAATAAAACACTGATTGGCCCGTAGCCAGGCAGGAAGTATAGGCGGGACTAACAGAGAGGAAAATTGAGAGAACAGGAAGGTGGAGGGAGACACTGCCAGCTGCCGCCATGACAAGCAGCATATGAAGATGCCGGTAAGCCACGAGCCACATGGCAAGGTATAGATTTATAGAAATGGATTAATTTAAGATGTAAGAACTAGATAGCTAGAAGCTTGAGCCATTAGGCCAAACAGTTTAAATAATATAAGTGTCTGTGTGTTTGTTTTATAAGTGGGCTGTTGTACTGCCGGGGCTTAGTGGGACCCAGAGAGAAACTCTCCAGCTACAGAGAGCATCAGTTAAAATGACAATGAATATCACTGTATAAATATGAGAAGAGCCAAAATCTGGAACATTGACAGCATCAAACACTGCCCAGACTATATGATATTAGGAACTCGTATTTCTTGTAGGAGGCAGTATTGAAAAGGTATAGCCAGTTTGGAAGATAGTTTGATAGTGTCCTATAAAACTAAACATGCCTTTATGTATGTTTAGATACTAAGAAGTGTGATTTAGCTACTTGGTATACTCAGAGAAGTTAAAATGTGCACACACACACACACACACACACACACACACACACACACACAACTTGAACATGAGTGTTTACGGTAGATTTGTTAATTGTTGGAAGCATCCAAAATTGTTTTAGTAGGTAAATAAACTTCAGTAAATCTAGATAATGAATTGTACTAAAAAGATATGAGCTATCAAACCAGAAAAGCACAGGGTAGAAACAGAAATGGATGTTGCTAACAAAGGACCAGTCTGAAAAGGCTCCATATTGTGTGATTCCAGCTCTATTACTCTCTGCAAAAGGCAAAGTTTTTGAGATACTAAGATTCATGGTTGTCAGGGGTTAGTGGGGGAGAAAGAAATGAATAGGTGGATGATGAGCCCTTTAGGGCAGTGGAAACAATGAGTATGATACTGTACTGGTGATTATGTACCTTTACATATGTATATGAATGCATATGGTAAATGTATATAAGTGCGTAGTGTGTAATACCAAGAGTAAACTGCAAGGTAAAGCGTGGACTTTGGGTGACGATGGTGTGTCAAGACAGGCTCATCAGTTGCAAGAACTGTACCATTCTAGAGGGATGTTGATGATCATCAAGGAGTCTAAGTGCACGTGGGAGTAGGGAGCAAATGGGAAACCTCTGCCCTTTCCTTTTAGTAGTGCTGAGAACCTGAAATTAGTCTGAAAAAATAGAGTTAAAAGGCTTAACAATAACAATTTAATACACTCCTGGAAAATTATTTTCAGTGAAGCCATTTTCAGGGAAAATGATGTTATTGTTTGGCCCTTCGATGCCATTTCCCTCCTGCGGGGATGCAAAGCATTGAGCAAATGTTCAATTTTTACTAAAAAGGAAACAGTGTATAGTGATAGATAGTCCCAACTTCGGCTTTTAAATTTTTATTAGATGTGTTAATGCATCTAATCCACTAAAGTGAAAAGTCACCAACTAGTGTTATCGTTATAAAAAAAAAATCACCTCTTCACTTAAATATTTTAAACTTTATTTTAAATAAACAAGAGACTCTTGTGATTTAAAGTCACAAGACGTCAGAAATATCATTTATGTTAGGATCTCCCACTGAGGTCACAGGTCTAGTACTTTGGGTAATGAGCCAGTACTATGTCCTTGGTTATCATTCTAGAATTTGTCCCTGCTTGTAAAAACGAATTATCTTCTTTTTATTTAAAAGGTTTCATATTATATATCCTATTCCTTTTCACCCCAAAAATGCTCTTCTATACTGCTCTGTTTTCAATTACTCCATTTTCACTAGTGCATCTTTGGTATTATTCAATTTTATCGCACAAGAAAAATTTAAATATACTTTTAGTGCTAATTGTAATTTTGTGTTCATTCTTCTTACTAAATTGAATAGCGGATGATATAGATTAATGCATTAGAATTTCATTGAGAGTCTGCTGAAATTACAAAATAGTTCCAGGAGAGTTAAGGCATGTAAGATGTGATTCTCCTGTTCCCAGAAAGGCCATTTTGTGGTCATGAGTAGCATGCTAAGTTTTATTTTTAATAGATCTCATTGTTGTTGACAAAAGCATTTGTTTGTTTTATCTTCGTTCCTCTTATATATCGATTTCTTGGTTGTCTGTAGTCTGTCGAGTCAGGAAAGACTGATGATATGTGTCTAGTGTGTTTCCAGGTTCCATGGGAGATACTTGGATGCTTCTCCTTAGAGCTGTCGACACAGTGAGATAGTTTCCAGGACTATCTGTTTCTAGGAGTGTCCTCCTTAGTCCTGGCAAAGTTCTGAGAAGTGATGGGAAACCAATCTGAGCCAAGCCAAAATGAAATGTAACATAGCAAAACATTCACTTCTAACTTGTAAGAAACCTGGATTTTAGTGGTTGAAATAAAAAAAAAAAAAAAAACAACCAGAAAATGAACCAGCTGATGTTCAATGAGCAAATGCATTTTCAACATAATGATCAGAGATCTTTCTATGTAATATTTATTTGTCACAACTCCGTGACGACAGTATTATTAGTTTTGCCTTATACTGAGAAATACTAAGGATAATAAGTATATTTACAGGTTGACATAGGCAGAAACAGATTTTCAGCCTATATTGAATGAATGAATAAACAGAAACCTAATATAAAAGAATATGGTAGAGAAAACATGGCAATCAGGGAAGATCCATCGGAACAAGAATGTTTGAGCAGCTGCCTAGTATATATGTGGCAACCAACCACATAAAGGCCAGGGCAAAACACTTCTATCTAGACCTAGGAATAAGTATGCAGCTTCTAGGTTGATGTCAGGAACAGAAAGAAATCTGCATAGTTGGAACAAGGCAGGAGGGAAATATGCTACACAGAAGCCACATCATGGGTTGCAAAGGCCAGTAGAGCGGGAGAGGCCTGTCAGAGGTTACTTCAGAACCTCACCAGAGGACCATGGCTTAGATGAGTAACGGGGGTGGGGTGGGATGGGGGGGCTGGGCAGAAAGAAGCGTTGGACAAATTTGAAATATATTCTGGAGGTTGAATTAACCTATGTCTAATGAACTTGATTAAGAGGAATACAAGAAAGAAGTATTAAGAAAAGCAAACAATTAATCCATAGACCAAATGTACTA